GGTGATCTCGTCCAGGAAGGCGTCTTTACGATCTCGATAAACGCGAATCGAAGAATCCGAAATCCGTTCATTCGACGGGGCTTCGGTTGCCTCTCTTTTGTTTCGGATTCTGAACGTTTTTAATTGTATTAACCCTTAGGGGACCGAAACTATTTATTTCCAGTTTACACACTGCCAAGTCCAGACTGTTTTTCAGACGACGAGAAATGTTTTACTGAAAATTTTTGTATCAAATATAGAGAAGAGATATTCGTTTTTTAAATGAAACTTCGTTGACATATTTTCATCGAAACAATCGTGCCTATTCTTCCAATGTTTCCTGCCAGATTTTACGGTTTTATTGATTTCTGCCGCGTGTATGGCGGCATTGGACCGTTAAGGATTACATTTGGGGGAACGTGAGATAGAAACGGTGCGGGCAACTTAAACATAAATAATTTCGACGAAGAATGAGAATAAGTGACTTAAATCCGTGATTAAATCCACCAAAAAAAAAACAACAGAAAATTGGTATTGACGCGTTCGCTATCAGTGCAGACTAGCTTATAGAATTACATTCATTTTATTTATCGCATTAAATACACCTGATCCTCTCATAAAATGTGATAAAAACGTCGCCAAAGCTGTAAATTCTTTATATATCATGCTATATAATTTCAAATAATAGCATTCGTAACATGAATTTGACGTTCTTCATCGATTAAACACACTCGCGATCGTCGCGCGCGTATTAAATTAAAATAATATAAACAAACATATATGTATTTGCAAATATTTACGATTTCATTTGTGAACATTTATTCTGCGAATTTATTCGCGAAGTTGTTGCGAACAATGGGATTGCTTCGTTCAAAAATATTTCCGTTCTCGCAGACACGACAAAACGGTTTCGGCTGGCTTGCGAAGACAAATACAGTGGTCGACCACCGATCACAAAATAGCGACCGTGAATCCCAGAGCAGAGAGTTTTCTCGAGTCCACCGTATCCTAGGAACATGTTACAACAGTGTCCGGATCCGCTAACAACCGCGGCGGAATTTACTTTCCACGGTCGGAGTATCGCCGATTTTTCAGGAGGACTGGGGGCAGCAGATCTACTGCGGCGGGATTCGAGCGGACGAGCGCCGTGAGATCCCTCGATAAAAGGAAGAAAGGAAAGGGATTGCCGGCGCCGCAGTGTGTATATAAACGTTTCCCGGTACCTGACGGAAAATCCGGCGCACTTGTCGGCCGATCCGGTAATCGAAACCGGTAATTATGCGCGGGGCCATTGGCATGCACGCCGTGGAAAGAGGAACGCGAGCGAGTACGAGCGGATAACAAGGGACCCTCTGCCCGGAGCATCGAAAGTAACGAGGGCAAGGATTGATGTCCGTTCATTCGGTACGATGTACATCGAGAATTATTACGAGGTGTCCGTATTAAAATAAACTGCCCGGGCGTGTACTTCGCGGGTACGGCACGGGAGAAAGAGAGATATCCTCGTTAAAATGACGAGTTATCGAGTGGGATCGTGTTTCGGCCGTTCGCGTCTCGATTTTTCTTCTATCCTCTCACTCTCTCTCTCTCTCTCTCTCTCTCTCTCTCTCTCTCTCTCTCTCTCTCTCCCTCCGTTTTTCTCTTTCGGTCCCTCGGCTTTTTTGCTCGATTTTCGAGCCGCAGATTCGCGGTTGCCGATGTACAAATCGCGTACAAATTTCAGTTCGCTCTTTCAGGGTATCGCGTTCCTGGGCTAAACGCTCCGACCGAGCCGGCGTTTTATTCCCCGATCGCTGTACGAGCGCCGTTGCAGGACACGAATTATCATCGTTTTAACGCGGAAGCACAGTTCGGCCGAGAGTTTACTTTGCGCGGAAACTATTCGTCCCCGGCACAAAGGCGACGGATTCGGATGTTTTCTCAATATTTTCCGCGGGACAGAGATGTCGGACACCATTCCGCCGTGTATATGTACACCGAGAGAATCGGATCAGTGGCTCGAGACGCGGGAGTATTCCGCGTTCGTTCAGCATCCTCGTAGTCTGTTTTATGCTAAAGAGAGTACATAAAACTGCTATAGCGCAGTTTAAGTCTGGTAAATGTGCAGTAAAATATCTAAAACCGTCTTAAAGGTACGGCTCTTTCGAGGGGTTCGTAAAATGCTGCTTAAATCATGAATGCTATTAAGAGAAGACGAGAATATGGTGCGCGGACCGTAGTTAAGTGCAAATTTATTTTTCATTCCGCTAATAAGACTAGCAATGTGCTCGGGATCGTGCAGGAAGAAAAATTATTGAATAATCGTTTCAGCGAACGTACGTATCCAGACCGGAGTCGGGCAAAATTTTATTCGGGCAACGGATAACAGGTAAAAACTGACCGATTAAATTTTATTCGACCCTATCGAATGTAAATAATATTTAATCGATAAAAAATCTATCCGAATCAGATTTTATTCGAGTAAGAATTCAAACGAATTGGATTTTATTCGGTAAAAGGATTCGTTCGAAAAGGATTTTATAATCCAAACTCTGTACTCGTATAAATATATTCTTACAAAATTACGTAAAAACACATAAATCGTCAACGATTATTCTCATTATTATTCGAATAATTTCACGATCTCTATTCGAGCAAAGAATTATGCGCATAATTTATTCGAACACGTAGATCGAATAATTTACGAAGAATAATGAATAATCGTTATTCGAATGAAACATCCGACTAAAAATAAATCATTCGCACAATTATCTCTTGTTATTCGTAGCAATTCGGATAATGCTGCGATCCAGACGAATTCGTGGCCCTAATCGATCCACGACAAGCATCGGATACCAAATTCGGCCGGCTGTAGCAACGACAATGGCAGCAGCGTCGATGCCACAGCGTTTACTCCTTTTGCTCGCCGCCCGTTTTCATTTTATTATCGTCCAGGGCCGCTTACTATCGTCCGACTTCATCGTCCGTAACCGTCCCACGAACATATTTACGATCAATCCGATGAAAAAATGTAATTATTCAAGGCCTGGACTGGACGGGGCACGCGAAATCGGCAGCAGGAAGAACGCGATCCCCATCGAGCCGACCGAGAGTCGTTAGCCGCCGTTAAGAACTTCTAATCATCGACATCGTGCGCCTTAACGATTACGCGTTTCATCGCCTTATACGCCGCACAATGGCGTTACGCGTGCGTTTCGTTTTCGATAAGCGTTAGAGTTCGGTCGTTTCTCCGCGCAACGATCGTACGTCCTTCTCACGTTTCCAACGCGATAGCGGACCGTGAAATTTTTAAACAAAGCCGCGGCACCGCGATGGCGATCTACGATTGCCTCGGCTACGATACTCGCCTCTGCCCGCCGATCCTCGAAAATATTCAGTTGCTGCATTATGCCTAGCCGAGGCAGAAGCTTCGAGCTTCGAAACGAGCGCGGATCTATCGCTGCACGACTCGTCTTCGCGAAATTGCGACGAGAATCATCGATTTGTCGCGAATCGAAAAGATTTCGTTCACGGAGCTTCGATGGAGTCACCGTGTATTCGCGGTGAACAGACTATTACCGTTAACCAGTTACCTGCGGGAAGTGTAAAATACGTGTAAAAAATAACCAGTGACTGCGAGAAGTGTTTCAGTTTCTGTAATTATATCGCATGCGTTCGATTTTTCTTCATACTTCGTTTAAATACAACGCCTCTGTAAAATATATAATTTAATAAAGATTATATATAAAATATACAGTGTTCCAAAATTATGGTATTTCCGAGAAATAACGGATTCGTAGGGTCATTTGTAGCAACTTTTTCCTTAGCGAAAATGTTCTACGAGGCTTCGTTCACGAGTTATTAACGAAAAAGCAAAGTGACCAATGAGAGACGAGCTCGGTTGGTGCAAGGTAGCCGAGCCAATCAGCGGATCTAGGTTTCGACCGCTCGACCGTTGGCGCCGTTGGCTCGGCCGCCTCGCGGCAGCTGACCTGGGATTCGACCGCTCAACCGCCGGCGCCGTTGTCTCGGCCACCTCGCGCTAGCCGAGCTAGGCTTCGACCGCTCGACCGCTGGCGCCGTTGACTCGGCCGCTTACCGCCAGCTGTGCTCGCTTCTCATTGGTCAGTGTTTATCGTTAATCGAGCTCGCCAATCGAGCTCGCCTCTCATCGATCACTTTGGTTTTTCGTTAATAACTCGTGAACGAAGCCTCGTAGAATATTTTCGCTAAGGAAAAAGTTACTTCAAATGATCTCAGGAAACCCTTAATTCCCGGAAATAACATAATTTTAGGACACCCTGTATGTAAAAGTATATGTATATGCTTCTTAGAACTACCTAATCGCGACTGATGCGTGTTGTTTCGTAATAATACCAACATTGCACGATGTCCATTATATTCGCATGATGTCCGTTATAAAATATGTTTCGATAAAGTTGCTTATCAAAAAGTTTCTCGTTGAAATATTTCAATAAATTCAGTGTGAAAGAAAAAGTCGGAAACCGGTCACTTCGACCGGTTTGATAATTCTAGCGTTAAACAGTTATGCAGCTGTTTTTGCCCCAATCGTCGCTCAGCTTGTAAACAAAAGTGAATAACTTGGGAAGAGGAGATACGATTATTCGAGCCTCGCGGCTCGTTGTCGATCGTCAACAACTATCCTCTTCCCAGTTTTTGTTTACAAGCTGAGCGACCATTGCGAAGAATTTGCTGTATTTGCTTTCGCCGCGAAGAAATGGCAAGATTTTGTGTTACGACGAGTACGCTGGTCAAAAGCAGCTGACCGGTTGATTGCTACAGAAACACGAGGCTCCCCAACGAGGCACGCATGCGAGGAGCGCACGGGGGTCGCGGGAACGTTTAAAGGAAAGAAATTTATCGGATTTCGTAGCGGATCGGTTACGTCGAGGAAAAAGCTGTGAAAGGGCGCCGTGTCTCGGCGCTATGTTTTAACAGCGCTCCCCGGAGACCGAGAGCTGTCGTCGGTCTGAGGTCACCGGAAGTTCCACATAAATTTCCAATATCAACAACACACTCACCCGAGGTTCTTCAGGGCGATGCCGAGTCGTCGCGGCGCGTTGTCCCGGCGCCGCACATAGTCGCCGGTCCGCGACCGCCGGCCGTTGCACGATTTTCGTGAACGATCCATGAAGAGTTGCTCCGAGGCTCAGGCCATCCTGCGCATGAGAAACGTCGCGATGCGTTAAGGGGCGAACCTCATTACCGGCTGAATGATATAGAGCGTAAGAAAAGGACGCGCGCGGACGCCAAAGCGCAACAAATCACGGGAAACTCCTGCTGGCGGGACGCCATTCGACCGGTTAACGTTGATCGCCTTAAGTCACCCAAGTTTTACCTTCTCTCGTTGTGAAACACATAAACCCTCACCTTGTCCTCGGGAACCAGAGAAAGACGGAGAAGGTGTTCAATAATTCTGCTCCACGGTTTCTGTGCGGCGCGATTGCCTCTCGTTAAAACCAGTCCCGCGACAATACCAATCTCCGAGAAGCATACCGATGCACGGGCTTTAACACTTCGAGGACGAATGTCGGTACAACGATGACATCGCGGGACCGCGTATTTTACCCGAGATGTTGCGAACATTTCATTCGATTACGCGAAAAACGGATGGTCAGGGTGTACCGAAGACTCTAATTGTTTAACACGTTCGCTATCGGCGTCGCGCGTATGCGACGATCGCGATTTTGTATTTCTATGACTTCTTCTTCGACAACATTTTTATTGTATTTTATGTGAGGATACGGTGTATTTAATAGGATAAATGAAAGAAATGTAACTGCGTAAGTTAACGACGCTGGTAGCGAACGTGTTAAGGAAAATATAACTAACGTTTTCAAAAATCCTGGTCCGCAAAGAGATAAAATGACGCTCGGAAGATGCGGCGAGCCTTTTGGAAGCAGTGCAGGATTTTTTACCGGCCCTCCTGTTGGACCATGACTCGTTACTGTCTCGCCATTGGCTTTGTTTCACTGTAGGAGGGCTAGTAACGCGATGTTAACGCGATCAAGATCGCCGGGGACCTTCGGAGCTGCTGAGGGCAGTTCTTTTGGGTCCTAATAGGTTTGCAGCGGCTCTAGATCGTTTTGCGATTGAATTCTTGAGGGGAAAACATGCGACGCTATGGAGAGAACAAGCAAATTCTCAGTAAACACAGTAAATTCTCCGAAATTCGCGCTCAGATTCCGTACAAAAATGGACAATTTGGTAAAAGGAGATACGATTATTCGAGTCTTGCAATTCGTTTTTATAGTTACCGATTGTCAACAACTATAAAAACGAGCCGCAAGGATGGAATAGTCGTAAAATCGTGGAATAATTGTCCATTTTTCTTTACAAACCGAGCGTTAATTAGAGAGAATATACTGTTTCCGACTTTAACACTAAACCTACCGAGCTCTAACACAGTAACTCACGATTGTTGCTTTATAAACGATGAAGAAACTGTACCTATTTAGACCTTTCGACACTTTTATCTCAGTGCGATTGAAGCAAGAAATTCATTCAGTCATTTTCTATAGAAGCATCTTTATAATTCTAGCAGCTTTAACAAGTTAACTGTTGCGTCAGATATCGGTGCAAAAATTCAATTCTATCGTAATACATTCGAACGAACTGAATTGCAGTAGAACGTTTAAAATGCCACAGAGTTGAAATATCATCCGCTATGATAAATCGTAACTTTCTAGTTTTCAGAGAGCTTCGGTAATTAAATTACTCTGATCTTGTGAGAATTTTTGAGAACACTCGACGTGCCGAGAAACAAAAAACTGCGGAGCCGGTCTTTTTGATCAACTCGGTAGATTTAGCGTTAATTCATAACGTTGATTGTCGAGACGGAGCTGTCGAGAGCCAAAAATTTGATTCCGAGAAGTTGGGATGTTTCCTGCGATTTGAGGAGGTCGGATGCGTTATCTGCGATCGCGGCTCACTTTGCTAAGGTGCGGAGGTGCTGCGGATGCTGGGACCGGAGAAATGAAATTTGGAGTGTCGAGACCGCGAAGATAAAAACCGCAAAAAGGTAATTTACGAGCCGATGTATCGGGTCGCTACTTGGCGAACGTCCGCATAAAGAGGCATCTATATTTACGGATTCTCGTTTCGGCGCACGCGTTTCGTTGCACGAACAGCTGTGAAGAATAAGCCTCTCTCTCGTTTTCTCTTTCGCCTCTACACTCTCGATCTCACCCTCTTTCTCTCTCTCTCGCTCTTACCCTCTTTCTCTCTCTCTTTCTCTCTCACCCTCTCTCTCTCTCTTTCTCTCTCTCTTTCTTTCTCTTTCTCTCTCGGCGCGCGCTCAGAACGCTGCAGGAAAATCAGTTGAAAATTCTCCTCGCAATTAATTAGCCGAAGCTCTGTTGTCTACTCTGCCTCGGTTGCCTTATTTCGTGTTTGCAAATCTTTTAAAGGGAAAAGTACGCGCGACTGTGTTCTCGTAGACGACGGCTTCGTGAATAAAACAGTGACATTAACGACGGGAGAGAAGCCGCGTAGGTGTTTCCAGAGAATTGATTCTTCCATGCAACAGATTTTGGTGCAGCAATTAAAAGATTCTTAGAAGACGATACGAACATTTCTGGCGGACGGAACTTTGGAAAATTAATAAACAAAAAAAAGAAAAAGATCGCAATTCTCGAGCAATTTTCATGAGAGGAATTTTGTGAATGACATAGCGAGTTGATCGCTGCTGCACAAAGTGCATTGATACTGCGGGAGACTGTATCGAAAAATGCGAACGTTTTATGACAGCGATTAAACGCGTGCATGCGTTCATTCAATAATTGTATAGAAACTGCGGCGGTGCAATGTTTTACGATGCTAAGAATTCTACTGTAATAATCGGACTACTGATTTTATGCGATCGTTTGATCTTCTCGAACTCAATGTAGGGAAATGTTTGGTGTTAGAGTCAATGTAAAACCTTTCAGACGATTTATTAACCCTTTGCACTCGAGTGGTGAATCTGAGACACCACTAAAATTGTTACATCACGTTCCAAGATAATTTTTATGTTATCAAAGTTTAGATTTCAAAAATTGTTAAAAGTGTAACTGTTGCATGATTCGCAAGACTCAATCTCATACGCATAAAATGCACTTTGTCATATAAAATGGAATAATACTATAAGTCAGAGAAATTATTTTAGATTTATAGTTAAAATGGCTTCGAGTGCAAAGGGTTAAATTGCGGCCGTTCAATAATTATACTGCAGATTTTATGCGTTTATGACGGAAGCGCGTATCTAAAATATAACATTGCGAAGAGAAACGAAGAAATTTAATAATATAGTTACACCGTAATTCAGTTTATAAAAATAATCAAAGGAAACAATTTATACTTATTTCATTTCAGTCTCACACAATCATCTTAGAAAATTTTTATTACGCACCGAGATCCGCAGTCTACCAATAACTTCAATTCCGCAACGAGACGCATAGACCAGGAACTTAGGAATTACAAGAGGCAAGTCGTGGCTCGCGAGAACAAAATTCTCTCGTTATTAGATGTAATTTAAATTTTGGATAAATAGTCCAATAATTTCCAGCAAAGGCAGCTCTCGGATCCGAATACTTAAAAAACTAAAAGAGTACAATTTCTTTAAGATCCACAATTCTGCAAACTGCTGGATCTTCAAACTCCAAGCGAAAGATTCGAAAAAGGTCACCTCGGCCATCCCTTCAGCGAAAATAATTGTACGAAACCCACCGAAAGATCCTGCCGAAGCGGGTGAAATTGTCCCCCAGCAGTTCTTAATCAACAAATTTTCACTCGCACTCACCGTCGTGCCTCATCTAATCCCATTCGGTCGGAGCAGCAGGTGGACTGGCAGGGTCTCTGCACGTGGCACACATTTCCCAAGTAGCACGTCGTCCGTGAACAGTCCGGCGAACTCGGAAAATTCACGCGGTCCTCTCCGGAGAACTCGTCGAAGCAACGAACTCCTGGATCGAGCCCTCGCGACCCCGCGAGGATCCCCGTTGACGGATCGGGTCGGATCGGAACGGAGATCGACGGCTGCTCGCTGGTACACCACTGTGCGATCTGGCCCGCGAGATATAGATCGCCGGTCGCGTAAAAATCCGGCGGGAAAACCGAAGCGAGCCGCAGGACGCGTAAGGAGGCAGGTGTGCGCGCGTAATCTGCCGGCGAGGAAACTCGAAGAGGAAAGCCGAAGAGAGCGGACTCACGTTTGCGCGGTCACGGGCTGGCGCAGCCGCGACAGGAATGATAGTGGCGAAAGTGGGAGACCCTCCGGGAAATATATAGGTCCGCAGGGTAGTGGTGGTTGCGAGGAGGAAGGAGGAGGTCCGACAGACGACGCATCCCTCCACGTGCGCTTGTGCTCGCTTGTGGTCGTGCCACCGGCTCGGTCTGCCTCGGTCTGCCTCGGCCTGCCTCGGCCTGCCTCGGTTGTTCCGCGCTGCACTGTGTGCACGCACACGCGTGCCTCTCCACGCACGTACCTCACGCACGCTCCGCGCACCGGCCGTCACGACATGCAGATGCACCAGCCGGTGCACGGAGCCGCATCCCCGTTGACCGGCCCCGAAAAAAACCGAAAGCCCGTGGCCTCCTTTTTCGGCACACCTCGGCACGCTCCTTTGTACTCGCCAGGAGCTAAGGGTCCTGACCCTTAACCCTTTGTGCGACAACGTGTCCCACCAGCTCGTTTTCCAACAAATCGATGCACCATTTTCTCGCGCTGCTTCGAGGAACAGAGGGTGCTGCGCCTCGAGTTACTATCTATCATTCTTGGACACTTGATGCATTCTTCGGATGTTTTGGGGAGCTGGAACAGTAGGCAAGTTTCAGAGCTTCGTGGTGTGTACGTCGAGTCACTCTTATCACGTTTCTAGAGCTTCGTGAACGGTTCTCTTCGGCTGTTTGCAGGAGCGGGGGAACAAGTTTGGGACTTCATGGTGTACCTCAAATTACTGTAAAAGTGGAAGTTGTTATTAGTTATTGATCTATTCGTTGATGAATGTAAACGGGGGAATCCCTCTGTTTCGGAAGAGTTAAGAATGATTCAAACGAATATAGTGTAGTAATAAATAAAATATAGTGTACTCAGGAATGGAGAAATAATGATGATATAAAAATAATAATGATGATATTGATGATAACAAACGACAGTAATAAGACAATGATAATGACGAAGATATAAATTAAATAATAATGAAAAGAGAAGAAAATAATTATAATAGTAAGAGAGAGAGAGAGAGAGAGAGAGAGAGAGAGAGAGAGAGAGAGAGAGAGAGAGTGCATCATTGATAATAATAACTATAATAATAAGTGTATCGCACTGAGTGCATCGTTGATGCAAATGCAAAGTGTCAGATTAGATCTTCGCTGATTTATGCAGTAGATAGAATTGCACTTAAAATTAGATTTACAGAGCATTAAAAGCTTTATAAAAGTTTTATATTGCTTTATAAAAGTGACAATAAGACATTTGTTCCGATTTCTAACGAGTGTTATTACAATATTTGCCGTAAGCAATGCTACGTATTACTAACAATATATTTATTGAATAAATAGCTCACAAATGGCTTTTCACGATCCGAATAATCGCGAATCAAAAAATCCACGACCCGTCGTTTTGACAAGTTCGGAAAACCTAGCGTTAAATCGCACCATACCTATTTACAATACACAACCTATCTGGCTAACAAAGAATTCGAATTTCGGACAATCGAGGTTTCACTGCGTCACCATAAACTCGACGGCGCGCATTTCGTTCGCAGCTCGGTAAAACGACGAACAAAGTAAAATTCGAGCCACCGATGTATCTCGATTATCTATGTGTATTACATAAAATTCTGGCCGGCAGAAACGAACAAGAATTACAACCCACCGACCGGCGTGTCCGTCGAAAATCGAATTAGAAAACCGGACGGTGTCCGTTTCAGGAACAATTCGTCTGTCCGCTGCGTACACACAATGTATCTCCAATTCAATATCTCTTTCGCAACGACCTTTCAGCCATAACCGGCCGGGAGATTGACGAGTACGGGCCGCGATCGGCAAGTCACCGGAATGATACTGCGAATTATAGAACAAGAAGATAGATGAAGCGTGCGCCCACGAAGAGATAAACGAACGACTACACGCCATGCTATCCGTGTAATTGCAACAAAGTAATCGTCGTTCCTCTTTCTTTTTCCTCTTTTCTTTTTTTTGCCTGTGTTTTACTGGTCCGATTACCGTTTTGTTGGCCGGTTCAACGGACCGAAACGGTGGTACGACCGCTCGTAAAGACACCGAGCGCAAGATTACGTTGTCCCCCGTTATCGGTAGATGCAACGGTGCAGCGTACGGCGGGCACTGCGCCGTCGAAAACCGTGACGCCCCGAAGCGAGCCTATCTTTCTTCTTTTTTTCCCTCTTCTTCTTCTTCTTCTTCTTCTTCTCCTCCTTCTTCTTCTCCACCGTTTCCGCTTTTCACTTTCCGCGCGTCGCGAATCGACTGCGACATTTCGCCGGCGAAGCGGATCGCCGGCTAAATGCCATAACGAATCGAACACCGGCGCTCGAACTATAGCGTTCGGGATCGTTCACCCTCGCCGCGACGGCAGCAGGCCTGCTATAAAGGGGGAGCTTTCCATCGATCCGAAAGTCTCTGAAATACAGGCTAAAATCAACTTGTTGTTTTGTCGCGGCGGTAACGAGAGAAGAGCGCCCGATAAATCACCGTGCAAAATTCTCCGCGTTCTTGGCAACGGGGCGTCGGGTGTCGACGAGATCCCGGCTTAGAAGTCTCGCGATTCTCGGGAACGAGCAGCGATGGAAGCTTGCATAACCGATGAATAAAGGCGAAGGGGACGTCGCGGGTGTCCTTTTTCATGGCGGCGACGATGGACCGAGGAATTGTCGCGTTAAGGTATGCAGAAGCGTTTCCGGCGCATCCGATGGAGTCGTTCGCTTCCGCGATCGCTAGCGCCCCAGACATTAGACTGGCGCCGGCGAGTCCGGGCCGGGAGCGGGACCTCGTTAGAAGCTGGAAACCACGCCGGCTACGACGAGGCTCGCAAGACTCCGATATTAGGATTCATCGCATTTAATATTCGCGTAAGTGGCACCCCAAGGAACCCTAAATACCAATTAGTCATATACAGTGGTCCACAAAAGTGTTCGTACACGTCTTAATAACTTTTTGAAAAGTGAACTAAATGAGTAGAAGCTCTTTTAGATGACTGAGGAACTAGTCTACTAGACGATGGCTAAAAAGATATTTCTACATTTTGCTGTTACTTGGAACGAAAAGAAAAACATTAAAAACCCAAGACAGCCGAACTCGGTTAACCCAAAGTCGAGCCACAGGTGTTGAAGGATTTTAAAAACTGCAGATTGTTTACATTTCCTTTCTCAAAATCCTGACAAAATAGCGATTTCTCTGATATTTAATTTATTGTAACTCGTAACAACGTGAACCGATTTCGATCAAATTTTCAACGTGCGTATAAGTTACAAGAGATTTTTTTGTCATTCCGAGTATTAGCAAAATTGGAAAAAAGGCATTTCAGTCATCGTCTAGTAGACTAGTCCCTCTATCATCTGAAAGAAAATTCAAGTCATTTAGTTCAATTTTAAAATACTTATTTATATATATGTTATATTAATATATATTAAATTATATTATTATATATTATATTATATTATTATTATATTATTATATATATAATATTTATTATTTATTTAATTCAATTATGTATAATTATATATTTATATAATTAAGTATACAATAAAATTAAAAAGTAAAGTGAATAAATCAAGCCAAAGGGAGGTTATCGTTCAAGATGGAAGAATTTGAATGGCAGAGAAATACGAACAAGCTTGAAAATTATATCTCGAAAATTGTTTCCGAGAGACCGCGAACGGTGGAACTCGCGCTCGGCATCGAGAGGCAACCTTTTAAGTGTTGCAGGTCTGATATCGTTCCAATTTTCGCGAACTCCGCCGTCAGGTTTTCCGTTTCTCGTTACATCCGCGATACCCGCGACGCTCGCTCGCCGCGCGAATCGAGCAAACACCGGGTTAATTAACTTTCGAGCGACTCGGGCAGCACGCTGGTCCGAGTCGAAATGAAACGACCGGGGAGCCGGTGTTTATTCAGCGCGCGGCGTGCCCGCGATATCGCTACCGGCGAATAATTCATTAATTTCGGGCAAACAGATCGGCGGCCGAAACACCGCTTTAAATAATTCCCGTTGTACCTGGCCGGTGTTCGGCGCTGACCGGCGCTGACCGGCGCGGCGCCGAGCAGATTCGATGCTCGAAAGCCTGCTAGAACTGCAAAGTAAATACAAGCGCGTGCAACGGCGATTCAAGGAACGCTCCGGCACGCTTATTTATTTTTTCCATCGGCCGGGCCAGCGTTAGTATGCCGTGTACACACCGTGCACCGATAAAATTGTGGTTTTGAGCACGTACGGTGATAACAGTGCGCGATCGCGACGCCTTCCGCGACGATCGCGAGAAGAATCGCAGACGGGTGACTTCGATGAAGCTTTATCTCTGTCTCTCTGAAGCACCCATCCATCTCTTTACATTGTCATCGATCGCATTTGCAGTATTGTAAAATCAGATGACTGCACGATGCGGCGACGCGACGCCAGATTTGGGGAAAAAGTAATCTCATCAATGATTAACGATTATAATTCATTAGTTATTTTATCCGGTCTCTAATAATTTATAATAATTTATGGTAACTAATCTGTAATAGTTCGTAACAATTTGTGATAACAAATCTATAATAATCTGTAATGATGTATAACGCGAGTGATAATCGTTCATCATTAATCAGATTACTTTTTGCCCGACTCTGGATGACGCATACTGCGACCTGCCGTGGATAATAATCGAGAAATTATTGTTCGATCTTTGACTAATTGTTTGGTAGTATCGTCAAGCGATAAATAAACGATGTATAAACGTAAACATTAATTGCCGAAGAAACCTCGCGATCTAATTACTGGAAAATTATCTCGCTCGTTTAATATACATTATTATTTGTTGACGAATATTGCACGGTATTTGTTATACCTAAAATATACAGAATTTGAGCAGAAGATTAAAATTAAGGAAAATCTTGTTACATTGCTACGGAATCTTTTTCCGTCGATCGGTTTTAGTCGATGTATACAGCTCTATAGTGCAGCGAATTAATGTCAAAATTAAAATACATAACTCGATGGAAAATAAAGCTGAAATTTTTACTGCCGTTTTGTGTACACGATATCGAAGAAACTTATGTACAGATTTTTCGATCGAATAACTTTTCGACTAACATAATTTGCAACAATTTGTTAATAAAAGAATGCAAGTTGGAAAATTAATTGCTACGTAA